CACGTTCACGCAATTGTAGAATGGGCTTTACGTTCATGACTACGCTTACGCAATTGTAGAATAGACTTGACGCTCGGACGCTCCTATTTAAGACCATCACATACAAAATTCCGTAAGAACTTAAAACGTAAGCGTAAAGAAATTGACCAATCCCAATCGAGCACTCGGCTCTTCGTAACCCCTCCATTATTACGTAAATCCGAATACTCGATTGGGATTGGTCGATTTCTTTACGCTTACGTTTTAAGTTCTTACGGAATTTTATGTGGATGGCCTTTAAAGCATCTTCTACAATGGCAGTAGGAGTAGTAGTAAGAAATAAGCAGTAAGTAAATAGACCAATCACAATCGATTATTTTTGAAACGTGAGAATGGAATTGGTCAATTTGCTTACTGCTTATTTCTTACTACTACTCCTACTGCCATTGTAGAAGACGCTTAAAAGTACTTATAGGCCTGCAACCAACGAGAGAGAGAGAGAGAGAGAGAGAGAAGTGTCAACAGCGTGTGGTCGCATCAGTGATGCAAAATAAGAGATTGATGTTGTCTATAACTAAATACAGAAATCCATAAGCAAAAAGAAAAAAACGTGACTTAGTGACAGATATTGTGTATATAAATAATTATTCATGTCATAGCAGTGAACATCATACAAAGAAAATATTCGTGCATAATCTAAATCATGCGGCCGATGTTAAATGGACGAATTTTTTCGTTAACACTAATATATGTATCAAGCTAGTAACTTTAAGAATGAGATTGTACTGCTCAACGAATTCATGTGAGCAATTTTTGTAACAGTAAGACGACTTGCTGTCGGAAATATCTCTCATTCTGCAAATATGAACAAGAATCTCGCGAACAAGAGACTAAATCAGCTGCCGAGTTGGCTATGGACCAACTCAACTACGTTACCGCCGGTTTATAAAATGGTTTGGGAAGCAGTGCGAGAAGATCGCGTCAGGTCAAACGGTATGCAATCTGAGCTGCTAGTCGACACCAACAAGGTTTTTCCACTGTTGCTTACTAGTCAGCTACCTACAGATGTCCTTGGTCACATATGGAGCCTGGCTAATCAGAAATATGCTGGACAACTCACCGAGCAAGAGTTATACATTGTATTAGCCCTTGTAGCTGCAGCTCAAACATCCTATACCTTCAATAGCCTTGATATATTACATTTGCTTCCTTTTCCGCCAACACCATATTTGAACATAGAATGCTTGATGAATCTGCAATCTACTGCACAAATAAACACATCAAAGCTTCAGTACTTTGCTAACAAGGAAGCCCAACTTGCTAACACAAGTGTAGAAGGAAAATATATTCCTGACATTAAGGAAAAAGCTAAAATTAGAATTCATGGAAATATAATGGCTGATGCAAAGATTCAGATGTCTAGTGCAACTGAAAACAATCCTAATAATATGTTTAAGGATGTCAAACAATTGTCAAATATTAAATCTGATATACCACCTGTATCAATTTTTGATGAATCTTGTGATGAATTTACAGAATTTCAGAGTGCACCAATTCCTAGTGTCTCTGCAATACAAATTTGGGATAGTAAGCACGGTTCTGCAATTGGCAGTAGACTTGCTAATCACAATTTGGGAGTAAAGAAATCAATCGATAAGGGAAAGAAAGTTACTGTTGGAACAAAACCTGTACATGCTACTACACAAATTCGTACAACTACACCTACAAACATGCTGTATCAAAATAAAGATCAGCCAGCAGTTGAATCTGTGACAGATCTATTTCCTAAATGTGCAGTAAAAAATCAATCCAAAACAGTAATACTCAAAGATACTGTGATAAGAAATAATGAATCGCCTAAAGATTATAGTTTTAATAATTTGACAAACATGACAGAAACTATACGTATTAGTGATAATAAAGAAGTATTATTTAAAGTGGAATTAACACCAAAGGTAAATATAAATAATATTGCATTTGTAAATTGCATAGCAAGTATGTCTTTATGTCTTTATAAGTTTAAAGTTAATATCTTGATGTGTTAATTATCATCTGTAGGCTGTCATGGTAGATATATCTGATTCTGCTCAACAAGATTTAATGAGCTTGCAACTTGTTGAAGATAAGTACAGTGCATTGCGTACATTAATTCAGGAAACATCTGTTGCAAATAATACAAATTTAATTGTAACTCTTAATAATCAATCAGCTGATGAATTCGGGGAATTTATGTCTGCGGAACAACCACCTCCTAATCCTTCAATATCAGAAACTCTAGATACCGAAAGCTTTAGTAATATATTTGCAGATTTTGAGTTCAAAACTCACATTAATATTGATAACAGTAGCTTGACAGATCTGAATTTTGTGTCTGAATTGTTCGATAATCTAAAACTTGATGATGGGATTGATGGACAATTGGTAGAATCAGGTTAGTGATTTTACTATTTTACATTTTCATTTTTGCTTGAATCTTATTTAATTTAAACCACGTAGTATATTATTCTTAGGGAAAAATATTCAAAAAGAGGATGCTATTTCAATAAATAGTGTAGAATTGATTAGTGGCCCATCTGAAGCATTGCCAAGATCTGGATCTGTGCCTAGCTTAGATCTTAAATCATTTTTACCCTCAAATATAGAAGAAGATCAAGTTGTAGAAGCACCACAGCAGGTATATATATATATATTTTTTTTTTATTTATATATAAAATATGATATATATATATATATATATATATATATATATATATATATATATATATATATATATATA